CCCCCCCCCCCTCCATCCAGTGCGCAAGCACACGAATCACGCATCACGACCCGTTCGCAGATTTCTACTTCATTACTCTCTTTGCCCATCCGTGGCCCGTATGGCATACATGTGGAGTCTTAGCTTCAAGCGATGTGTCCGCGCGCCTAGGCAGCAGGTTGAAGTTCAACCTGGATGAAGGGCACCTCAACGTCGTCCTCCGTCACGACCGAATCGGTCATCGCTTCAAAAACGGACCAGCGGGCATGCTGCAAACGTCGCACAAACGCGGATAGACACCAAGTCAGCTCGAGCAGAGGGTCGAAAGCTCTAAACTGTTCGCATCGGTACTCACAGGTGGAACAGGCTTCTTGCTGACATTCTCCACCAGCTGCTTCATGGACATCTTTAGCCTCTCTTCCCTCTTCTTGGGCGGCATGAATCCAGAGAAAAGCATGGACACACCCGAAGAGAGCATCGTGATCTCCAAGCCATGCTTCTCCTCAAACAGGCGTAAGAACTCTTGCAATGTCGGGTTGCCGGGCACCTTGAATCTGCAAGTGAACGCCGCGGAGTCAGACTTGCACGAACCCGTTGTTCTGTACAACGATCAAGTCTCACCTGGACCACAGCGTCCATGTAACTTCTCCGTCGGGACTGGGATACTTGAATTTCGGAGCAGCGATGGGCTCAGAGAACGCCATGAAGGGGAGGGCGATGTTGACGAAAGCTGCCAAACAAAGCAAGGCTTTGTCAGCACTCAAAGCCTGATTCCGACACTCATACCCAATCCACTGGACGCACCATTCTTGTACTGCTCAATGTCATCCTTGCCGTCAATGATCTTGTACACTTCCAAGCAGACGAGACCTGTGGAGCGTGACATTGGAAAACCATGATCAGAAGCAAACTCGTTGTACACGCACGACGAGACACTCACCCGTAGCCATGGCGGTCGTAGTCGCGATAGCAGGAATGATCTTTCCAGCAATGCCTTTAGTCTTGTGTCTGTCAGCAGGTTGAATGCCATAGTTGATAGCTCTCAGGTTGGACGCGGCAGTGATGTAGTCGATATGATGGTTCGAATCATCGTCCTTCTCAAAATCGACCGGCTGCAGTCTGAATCCAGCAAGGCTAGCAGGCGTGGGCAAGGAGCTAGCAATTTCCGTCAGTTCACCTTCTGAGCCTGGTGCCGCAGCAGGCTCAGCGGGCTGAGCAGCTTCTTTCTCGTTCGTTTGGAACTTGACGTTGCTCTTAGGCACAAACTCGGGCACTTGAACCTTGCTCAACACCTCTGCAAAGACCTGAGGATTCGTCGAGCCTTTGAGACCGTAGTTGAAAGCGTGCAGGTTGGCTGCCGCAACAATATACTCGAGGTGGATTGGCTAAACGATGGGAATAGCGCTTGTTTAGTCAGCGAGCAAAGCGATCTCTCGGCGCCGAAAATCGACACTTACGTCCTTGACGTCGAAGGTGATGGGCTTAGGAGCACGCTTCGGACCTGACCAGAAAGGCTGACCGCTTGAGGTGACCGCGTCCTCGGGCAAAGAGAACAGAAGTTGCCTGATTGTGTTGCTGTAGTTTTCTTCAAACTTGAGCCTTGCCCAAGCGATGCACTGCTCGAAAGAAATAGGCTTTTCCTCCACCAAGAAAGTCCTGATCTGCTCCAATTGGTCTTTCTGTGATCCACCGCTCTTCAGGCTTGTCTCTACATAGTCAGGCTGCGTCAAGTACTGATTGACATTCTCGGCTGGCTTGGTGAAGTAGTCGTCGAGCTGCTCGCGAGCCCATTGAATGGTGTGTTCGATGGCATTGGGGAAGTTCTTGAGCGTGCAGACAGGAATTGACTTCTCTGGCGGATCTTGAGAACTTGAGTAGCTCTCAGTGAGGTGAGGCAAGACAACTTGAGTGTTCGCTTTTGTGCCCAACGTGCCACTTTCCAACAAGGGCTTTTCGTAGTAAACGCATCGACGGTCCATATACTGACGTGCTTGAACATTGTCGAGCGCGTTCGTGACGCCCGTGAGCGATGCGAAGAAAGCGTCGCCGTATACGTCCTCAGTCTCGGGTCCAACTCTGTTCTGGTGACTGTGAATCTTGCCTTTGAGGTCGGTGTTCATCTCAGCTACTGCAGCAGCAGCTGTGTCCGCCTTGAAGTGCCCGACATCCTTGGGTCGGAACAAAAATTGCCTGTTGAGGTTACTCTTTTCGATCTGGTCCATGTCCGTGACGTGGATTGCTCCCTCGGGTCCGGAACCCAGCCCCATCATGCTCCAGTTCTTAAGCATCTCACAACCGATGGCACCAGAGCCGACCAGGAATTGCCTGACGTTTGCCAGCTTCTCTTGGAAGCTGTGGCCAAAAACGGCAATCTGTCCGTCGTATCTCGAATTCCTGGGTGCAAATTCGGATTCGGGCAGCTCTGGCACCTTGGCCGGCAAGGACTCGAGCGAGTCGACATAAAGGTGTTGTACGAGAGGATGGAATTTGCCTGAGCAAGCTTTCAGCGCTTCTTGCGCGACGAAGCCACCGATGAAAGCGACCATTGGCGAAAGGTCTCCTGTTGCCTGCAATGCGAGCTCCCTGACTACCTTTTCTTGTAGCTCGGACTCATCGCCGCTTTCTTTGTGGATGTCCTGAGCGAGCGCCAGGACGGCATTAGCATCAATGGCACTGCGTGCTTTTGGTAGCCTGCCTTGAGACTTCCAAAACGCTGATAGGGCTTGCCAGCCGGCGTGGAGACTGGGCGGTCTGTCGAACTTGGCAAAGTCAGAGATGAGGTGTTCTGGCGACTTGAGACTCTCGCGTAGAGATTTGAAGTCAATCGTCTTGGGCTGCTTGACCTGAGTGAAGATACCACCACGCTTGTACTCGCCCATACCAGTCGTGTCGCCGATGGAGAAGGTGTATGGTCCTTTCACTGTCACCTTTCGCGGCTCAGCAGCATTCAGGGCCTCCATCCCCTGCACCTCGCTGAAAGAGACGTAGTCGCCATCCTCGAGTCCATGCCTGGTTTCATCGAGCGTGGTCACGATACCATTCGAGTCCGAGTCGATCGATACGATCATACCATTGAGGGGCTGCTCGCCGGTAGGATCATTGACGAGGAATTTGTGTCCAAAGTCGTTGAAGACGGATCCGAACAGGCCTCGCACGTCTGCAGCAATGAAGTGGGTCGAGGTGCCGTGCGTCCAATCGTTGATCTCCAGCTGCTTGTCCAAAGACTCATTCGTCACTACCACGACCTGGAGAGCCAAATTTGGTCAGCCTTTGCTGTCAAGAACGCAGCGCTTAGCCCTGCTGATATCGTACGCGGGGTGGGCAAGGCCGGAGATAAGGCTTAATGCCGCCAATCCCTCCCTACCACCCAGCCACCTTTGCGATTCCTCCCGGTGACCCGATGAGTGCCGATGACTGCTATGGCACCGTGACTCACTTGGAATCTAGACAGAGCGTCTTTGGAGAGCGCAGGCTCCTCCAGTACCCGTACGGGCACGTAGGTGTTGAGCTCTGCTAATCGCGGAGCGGTAGCATCAGCTCTACTCTTCTTTCCCACATCTTCAGGCCTCAGAAAGAACTGAGTGGACAGATCCTCGATGTTGACAGTGTTAGGATCGAACAAGGTGACGGATTTGACACCTGCCAAGCAGATGTTCTTGGCTACTTCGACTCCTAGACCTCGCAGACCGACGACCAGGACGTTGGACACGGCCATGCGCTTCATTGCATCGTGACCCAGCACATAAAGCTGACGAGAGTAGAGGCCCTCGTCGATGGACGACTGAGGCGCATCCACGTCCATTGCTGGCATCGTGGCTGCGTATCGCCTGGCTGAACAAATGGAGCGGAGGGCGGCGGTGGCAAATGGGTAAACGATCAGGTGACTCCTTGAGCGAGACCGTGTTCGGCTTTGTGAGAGAGAGTGCCTGTACTCGCGAATCTGGCTATCGCTGCTGTAAAAACGCTTGATCTGGGTTGACTTTGTCTCTGAAGGGAAGTGCGGAGTTTTGAAATCAACGTAATGATGGAAGTAGACGAGGAGGATTGTCGCTGTGACTGCTGCAGGAATTCAAAAGCGCATGTACTGTGCGTGTCTACTCACAACTGTACAGTACATGACGCTTTGCTCTCGACCACCGACGCGTTGACCACTCAAGACTCGCAGCCCAGCAGCGTGCACGGACATTTTGATTGGCAGATATTACTTGGAGACGCGCGCGTTCGATTTTCGGAGACAACGTCATATATGGACGTACCGAAATGCGTCCCACTTTCTGCGTACGGCATTCTCACCCGTACGCACAATTTGGGTGTTATACGTCACCACTGGCCGTATAACACGTCGACCAATCTTGGCAGGTTCGACTTTCGTGAAATGTGCAGTACGACCACATACGACGTACTGCACATTTCTGGGACCCTGCATCTGGGGCGCTAGGGTTACCGTCTGATACGACCATATACAACGTACCATTGACACGTCAACACGGCGCGTGCGACGCGTCTGACTCTATGCACACTACCACCATCCCCACCCCTCCATTCAGCTTTCCACGCTCAGATAACTTCATCCAGCGCTCTATACAGCACCATGTTGCTCCTCAGAAGCACCATAACCCGCCCAGAGCCTGCCAGCGTCCCTCAAGAGCTGCTGGCGTTGCGCGAGAGTGTCTCACAAGCAGAGACAGAAGAGGCGTCATTCCACACACCTACATCCTCATCCAATC